GAAGCAGCCAGAAAGGCAGTTCAGGAGCAACATGAGGCAGCTGCAGCAGCTGCCTACAGGGCCACCCAGGAGGCCTGGGCCAGGGTGCAAGCTGAACAGTGGGCCCAGCAGCAGCAAGCAGCACAGCAGTACCATGACTGGTGGTACTATGGTGGGGGATGGCAGTATGACTCTGCTGCCCAGGGAGGACTATGTTTTTTCACACTCTGCTACTCATTCACTATTCTTCCTCTTTCTCATGTACAGGACTTTGTTCTTAATGATTTGACCTGCTTCCACTGCAGGACCACCCCCTGCCAGCCACCATGGAGCTCAGGCCAGCCACCATGGAGCCCACGGCAGCCACCATGAAGCAAAAGGAGGACTGTGACAATTTCTTTTGCAAACCAAATCCAGTGCAATACTTTTACTTTCAATTTGATGGCTTGCTGTAATCCTGGTGTGTGTGTGTGTGCAGGCCAGAAGCCACAGTTTTGCCCTGCAGGTGATGACTATGCCAAGCCCAAGCAGAAGCCCAAGCCCAAGGCCCCTGTACAGGCTGCTCCAGTCCCCCCTGGGCCTTGTCAAAGGGCTCCAGTAGAAGTGAAGGAAGAGGAGGGGGGATTCTGAATGGCAAGTGCCAAAGAGACATGCCAAGAAGCAAAAACAAAAGAACAAGGGTGGCTGAACAAAACTAGCACAGCTGAAGTATGGGTCTTGACAAAGGGCCCCAGCCTGACAGCTCTGTGGAAAGAAAAAAAGCACTTGGACATGGGAGTGGAGGACACCCAGCCTCACATGAGCTCACATGAGCTCATATGAGAACACCATTGCCTCACATGAGGCAACATCACCTCATATGAGGCATACAATGCCTCATATGAGGCACCCTCACCTCACATGAGCTCACATGAGATCATATGAGGCTGTAGTGGTAAATGTGGCACATCACAGTTTTGATTTTGTTTTCACAATGTTTGAGCTGTGTGCCCTGAAGCTTTCTGGCTCAAGTTGGAAAAACATATTCCTGAAACAGGGACCCTTGGCCTTGAGAAGGGCTTCGACTGGGCCTTGGCAAAGGGCTCTTGCCATGGCACCAAAAAAAGGTGATCAAGATTTTGAAGAAGCCATCCAGTTTGGACCAGCTGCCCCAACAAAAGGGCATGAGCCTTGAAGAGAAAATGGAGGCCTTTGCCAAGGCCAAGAATGCAAATGTGGTTGCATTCCTTGATTCGCTCAGCACACCCCAGAGACAGGCCCTCTGGCAAAGGTTCAGTGCAGCCAGAAATGCACTGAAGGATGAGAATGCAGACCAACTGTGGTCTGACCTGGCCAAGGGGAAAGGGTCTGACCTTCACAAGAAAGCATTGCTGCAATGCTTTCTGAAGCTGGGTGGGGACCTCAAGAGCAAGAAGGAGGTCTACATGAAGGAGCTGGTTTCCTACTGTAAGGTGCATGGTTTCTTGGTTGCACTCATTGCTCTTTTGCCTCCAGTACTTTCCTCCACTTGGCTCTCCTGTCAGCTCAGGCCACACCAGCTCTGAGGAATGGGTCCCCTTTGCCACAGTGTTGAAGCACTATGGACTGGCTGAAGCAATGCGCAGAGCACTTGGCCTCAATCAGCTGTCCTTTGGGGTATGTGCAATTCTACCTTGTTAAATTGTTCTTTTTTTCATGTGAGGTGCACAGGGGGACCATCCTCTGCAGAAAAGACCCTGAAGATGAATGTGAATGGCAGTTCTGCCTCAAAAAGAAGCTTGAATGGACCAAGGAGGAAACAAGACATGAACAGAAAGGTGACTCAAGTGCCAAGCTGGAGTGTGCCCAGTGGCTGGAGTTGAAAGCCAAAAGCCTGATGCCTGGTGAAATGGGGGATGCTAACCAGGCAAAGCTGGCTTTGGCAGAGGTGACTGGCAAGGGCTTGCCAGCCCTCATGGACAAGGAGAGGGGGTCAGCTGCAGGGAGTGAACAGGACCAGGACAATGCTGTTGTGGAGGCAGACCTCCTCTCTGACATGGGTGGTAAGCTGGTCAAGGAAGATGCCAAAACCAGGCTGAACAGGATGGTGAAACTCCTTCAGACAGTGAAGGGGGAAGTTGGTGCAGAGAAGGGGAAGCCATTGGACAAGGCCCTCACTGACCTGAAGAAGCTCTTGAAGCAAGGGGGCAAGATGACCATGGACCAGGCCAAGCAGCATCTCTTTGATGCAGCCTTGGAGATCAAGAAGGTGAAGAAAGCTAAGTAAGCCTTGTCAAAAGGGCAGTGGTCTTGGCAAAGGGCCACCAGGCAATCTAGATGAGCTTTTGCCCAGGCATGGATCTTCCCTAGAAAAGATGAGCATTGCAAACACCTCATGGAATGCATACTGTGGCAGGGACCAACTTGGCAGGGACCAACATGCCACACCTTAGCGCTTCCAGCTTCAAGATTTCAATGCAGGCTCTGAGTAAGGGCAAGAGTTGGCCTTGGCAAAGGGCTACATGACAAAGTGGAAAAGAAAAAAAGCATGAGATCCCAGAAGAGCCTGCTCCAGAACCAGGCTTCAGCCCATTAGGCTTGTCTTTGCTTGGGCAATTTGCAAATGGAATGTCAGTACCTGGTTGCAATAAAGACTGCTTTTGCATGTGCTGATGTTTTTGCAGCTGGCCATGACTTTGTTATCTAAGGGTCCTGCCATTCAATCTTTGGCCTTGGCTGCTGTGAAATCTGGCGCTGATGCAAATGACATCCAAGAGATTGCCAGCTTGGGCAATTATGGCAGGAATTCAAACCATATAGCAGGGCAATTGACACACAAATATTGTAAAGATGATACATAGGAGCATCAGAGATGGAAGATTTCTGGGCAGCGCACTTGGATTCAGATCCAAAATTGACCCACAACCCAGTGATGGCAGAGGGCAAAGAAAAATTCCTCCCCCTGGCCTTGCATGGGGATGGAGGGCAATTTCAAAGATGGGACAGCATCAACATTGTTTCCTTCAGGTCACTGCTTTCTGCTGGGAATGTTGGTACCACCCAAATGCTCCTTGCCGCCATTCCAAAGAGTTGTATTTCAAAGAGTGAAGTTCCAGAGCAAGACACCATGTCTTGTGTTTGGAAGGTCCTTGTTTGGAGCTTTGAGCATTGCTTCTTTGGAAAATTCCCAGAAAGGAACCATGAGGGAAAGAAGTGGACATCTGCAGACAAGCAAAGGCAAGACAAAGCTGGGCTGCCTCTCCAGACCTCCCACACCAAGGCTTGTCTATTTGCTGTCAGTGCTGATGGTGAATATTTGCAAAATGAATTCAGGCTGGCTGGTGCTTCCCACAACAAGATGTGCTTCAACTGTGATGCTGATAAAGATTCCCTGCCATACAATGATTTCAGGGTTTCAGCAGGCTGGAAAAAAGACTATCAAGAAGCATGCAGGTGCAACCCCAACAACACACCTGATCAAAAAGATCCCAGGTTTCAATGGACATTCCTTCCACTATGACACCCTGCACAACTTAGAGGAAGGAGTTGCTAGCCATGCATTGGCCAACACAATGTTTGATTTGTGTTTGAAGTCTGAGGGCTTGGGTGGGACACAGGATCAGAATGTTGTTTCTTTGTACAAGAAGGTGCTACAGCAGTACCATGAGCAGGGGATCATTGCATCAGATCGAATAAGGAGACTGGGCATGTC